TCTGCCGAGAGGGACCTGGGAGTCCTGGTGGATGACAAGCTGACCATGGGCCAGCAGTGTGCCCTTGTTGCCAAGAAGGCCAATGGTATCCTGGGGTGCATTAAGAGGATTGTTATCCTCCCCCTCTACTCTGCCCTGGTAAAACCCCACCTGGAGTACTGTGTCCAGTTCTGGGCTCCCCAGTTCAAGAAAGATGAGGAACTCCTAGAGAGAGTCCAGAGAAGAGCAACTAGAATGATTAAGGGACCAGAGCATCTCCCCTATGAGGAAAGGCTGAGAGAGTTGGGCTTGTTCAGCCTGAAGAAGAGAAGACTGAGAGGGGACCTCATCAATACATACAAATATCTTAAGGATGGAAGTCAAGAGGATGGAGCCAGACTCTTTGCAGTGGTGTCCAGCGACAGGACAAGGGGCAATGGGTACAAACTGAGACATAAGAGGTTTCAGCTGAATACGAGGAAAACCTTCTTTACTCTGAGGGTGGCGGAGCACTGGAACAGGCTGCCCAGGGGGGTTGTGGAGTCTCCTTCTCTGGAGATATTCAAAGCCTGCCTGGATGAAGTCCTGTGTAACATGCTCTAGGAGAACCTGCTTTAGCAGGGGGGTTAGACTAGATGATCTCCTGAGGTCCCTTCCCACCCTTGCGATTCTGTGTGATTCTGTGATTCAGACAAGGAGCTGTTGTGAATCAGGCTATTCTGTTTAAAAGAAATGTTTGTCATAATCCCTCTCCCCCAATTAAACAGACTTAAAGTAACTCACTTTCCAACAGGTCATGCTTGTACACAGTTTAAAAGAAGTGAATGCTTCTCTCTGTTATATTAACTTTGTTCTTACTCTTGCACCCTATACACACTATTTATTAGTTACTTAAGGTCTTCTAAAAGGTATTTTATTTTAATTCTGGCAAAATCTTACCTACTCTGGCTACATGTATTTCAGTCAAGACAATGGATAGACTCCTATTAATCAAATACAACACTGAAATTCTCAAATGTTCATGAAAATAATTTCTGAATAAAATATTTCTTCATGGAAAGTACCTCACCAAGGAATGGGAAGATAATTTCAAGCAGAAGGCAGTTGACCATCATTCCAAAGACAGGTGCCACAAACAATGACAGGGAGTCAAGAGCTAAAACCAAAAGGACAGGAAACTGTTTCTTGTCTCCACATGAGAGATGTGGTTCACAGCTGATACTCACTACTTCTGGTTCGACCCTTTATCCTAAGCCTCTAAATAAGGCACCATGCAAGAGTATTATAAGCACATCATTTATTTTCCTAACTTGGAAGTATCTGCTTTTTTCTCAAAAGAGACAGTGATGGAAATTAGATACTGATGTAGCTTTAAGGTCTCCTGCACATCTCACATCCTACTCCTAAACCTATGCAGCCTTGTGTTGCAGTGAACCCTGCGAAACTGGCAAATAGAGGGACTCTCTGCTCCATACACTTGATCCTGTTCTGGACTGGGACATGGCCATCTCCTTCCCTCTGAGTACAATCCCATTTAAAGGGCAACCTTTTCCTTTCTCTCCAAACCAAGTAAACACTTGATTCCACAGATCTTTAGGCAGCAGCCCTGATTTTATTGTCAAGGGACTGGTTTACTTTTTTTCTGTCTCAAAAAGGGAGATGTTTGGCCATATTTCAAGAAAAACGCAATTAGACATAAGGCCTAGCAAGAAACTAAATTTTTGGCATTTATAGCTTGCTTAGAGATATGCAGCACAGAAGAAAGTTGCAGTCTTGAAGAGATCAAAATCTGAATATGAGGTTTTACTATGACCACCACTGTTTTCAAGTGCATCCTACTAATTAAGAACACGTTATTCCTTGCCAGTTTTTTCAGACGAAGGATTTTAAAAGTATTTCCATGGATGAAAAACACCTGTTCCAACAGTATATAACAGTGCACAGTAGCAGACAGAGACTGTGATCCCTTCCAAAAAGGTCATCACTAGTGAACTTCCGTAGTGAACACGAGATGATATGCTGTGAGTGAAACTAAACAGAAACTCACAAACAGATACTTTGGAACAAATACCTTGTCCGCAAGGATGCCTTCCTCCACCCTGCAGACAACCTGAAGAGTCATAGGCACAGTTTCCTACTTTGTGGGGCTCCCCAGACTGGTGAGGTGTGCCTCAGGGCACAAGGAACTGAATGTGGCTCTGAGATCTCACCCCACCAAAAAGTGCTGCAAGTAACATTGAATTTCTCCCAGACCCTTCTTCACCAATAAGATCAATACCTACAAACAAGAAAGACTTGGGCAAATCTTATCTCATCCGGGGGCTTTCTGATGCCCCCCAGCTGGAAGTGGTCAATCTGCCACACTGCAGAGCTTTTTGCTTTCTAATGGATCAATCATTTTAGCAAATATTTAGTCCTTTAAACACATTAGGTATTTATGTAAGTAAATAAATAAACCTGAGATTTCAGTGGTTTAAAAACCAAACTTCTAGACACTGACAGAGTTGGAAATTACTTTGCCACTGCTACCACAAGTCTCACTAAAATTACAATGCAAGTAGAAGAGAAGGGAACATGCCAGGATAAAGAACAAATAATTGTTCTCAATTCCAGAGCTGCTCCCTTTCTGGATTGCTGTGCATTACCCGATTCTGGACTGGAAGCAAATGAGTCAGAAGAAATCAATTTATTTCTGAAGTCATGATCCCCTCCAACAATGCTTATACTAGTTCTATGGTTTCCATAGCAACTAATGTATTTGAAATCAAAGAAAAACTAATAAGACAAATGGGAAGCATAAAATGCCTTGCAATAGTGTGGGTGTGCATAGCACTAATTATCAACAGTCTGCTTTGGAGTGAGTTGCAAGTTGCCTTCTTCAGTAATGGCTTTTCCATAGAAAAGTAACATGGGTCCACATATCTGCATTATTAACACTTTACATTTCACCAGTAAAAAATTATTACTGATCGATTATCTTGTTTTCAAAGCAAAATCCACCTTTATCATATTTGAAATAAGTATCTTCTCTGACCACATTCTGAGTGGTGCTTCTGTTGAAATCACTAAGAATTTGAGCCACTGAAGAACTTTTTTTGGTAGCATTAAGGACCTTACCCTTTAGCTTGAAGTTTTGCTGTGAGTCAGCAAATATCTTGAGCGACATGGATTTGATAGTCAGCTAATATCATTTCACACCAACCACGGGATTGCGTACAATCAGTTACACATTGGAAAGCTACTTTATGTAAGGTAACAATGTCATGAAATGTAAGTGATTAAATATTTTTAAATCTTTGTAGCTTTTAACTTACCACAACAAAATTATTCTAAGGTGATTCACTGACTTTATTAAATACCTAGGACATGCAGAATGCACTTCAGCACACCATTCTTTAAAATATTCCACAATTCCATTAAGAAGCCCTAGTCAGCCAGTCAGAGTTCAAGACTACAGAGAGTAATTCTATGAAGTCCAACCAGAAGTAAGTTTGCGCGATAAACACATGGGAGTTAATCTTATGTGTAAATAAAGATAGCAGGATTTACAGCATATATTAGATCTTATTTACTAAAAACCAGGGACAAGGAAAATACTGGAACACAGACATCTTTTGTCAGTTACTAGTTTTGATTGATAGATATTTTTAAAGTGAGACGATGCAATACAATCTGTTTAGAAATGAGGATGGAAACAAGACTTGCATTAGTCCAGTCATAACCATCATCCTTACTCTGTCAATAAACATAAAGTGGATAAAAAACTATGAATGGGAAATTTTGTTGGAATATTTTTCCCAGAAGATACAAATATCATAGGTTAAAACATCTAGGACAAGTGAGTATTTTATTACTTGAGAGGTGCGCAAAATGGGATCTTCACCTCACTCACTCTCTGCCCTGTGTTGCCACTCCCCCCCTTTAATTCTTTTACAAGCAGAATTATACAACTTCTAACTTGTAGTTCTGTCTCAGAAATAACGCTAACACTTAACTAGGTTCCTTCCTGTGGTTGTACACAAACTATTAAAGCTTTACCTGCAGACATTTGCCATTTCAGAGTTGCTCAAACCCACCTTTGAATTAGTTATTATTTGCTCAACAGAGAAGATAAGGCCCCAATAAAAAGAATGACAGATTATGTGGTGCAGTTGAAACAGAATACCAGACTAATTCCTATTGCTGTAAGATTGACTTAGCAAAGACTGATTAAGTAACTGAAAGCTCAACATAAAACAGTGATCGTTATTTAAAGTTCTTGAAAAGATTTGTAATGCTTACCTCAATGACTCTTGTTTCAAAATCTTCGTACGTTTCTGTTGGGAGAAAAATAGGGTATTACACCTCCTTGTATTACGTACCTATCAGCACAGCCCCCTGTAGGTAGTAAAATTTAAAGAGGACACAATTTTTATATAACTGATTTATAAATTAATCTCAGCAGTAAGTAGCAAAGGTAAGAATAATTTGAACAAACACATCTAAAGTGAGCTTTATTAGTTGCTTCCTTTTAAAAAGACCTCAGATATGTCTTTTTACTTGACTCCATTAATTCAATCTCTTTTAGAGTAAGATCAATGAAAAAACAGCATATAGCTCTTATTTATAAGCATAGTTTTTTTCATTTCTTCAGTAAAATCAACATATGTGAAGAAAACTAGCTTAAAAAACAATCCACTTCAAATAACTTCCCAGAAAGCATAAGACTACTCATTATAATCATAACACAGTTCCTGTTATAATTAAGAGATGACAATTGTTAAATAGATTAATTGTGGTCTAGTAGGGACCCCAGCCTCCAACTGCAATCAATATCTCATCTTTTTAAGTACCATACGTGCAGGGAAGTAAGACGGAAACAGTCCCCAAAGACTGTTCAACCTAAACAACCAGAGTAGCAAAAGGGAATTTAAAAAAAATAAATAAAATAAAATCATTTTTTTAAATGGTAAAGCAAGACATACAAATTTAACTGCTTTGTTTGAACACCACACAGAAAGCAAAGCTGATAGAAAAACTGAGACATTCCTGTCCAAATTAAATCTGAAACTTTCCTTTGGAAATCACTGCAACTCACCACTTATATTGAAGCATTTTTGTTAAATTCTATCTGATATTCCTCCTAATTCTTTTGAACTGCAGAAACGCTTTGAAAAATAATTATGAAACGATGTTTTGGGGTTTCACTGGCTAGCAGTGTAAGCTGCCTTGTTCCCTAAATACTGCTCTGAAACTGTAAATGAACCCCAAATTTCATATATACTGAGGAAATCCCTAAAAAATAAAAAGGTAAATCACAAAATGGTTCACTTCCACCATGGCCAAATTATTATCTGATATTGTTCAGAAAATCTGAAATGTGTATTAGGGACTCAACAGGGATTCAAAGAAACTGCAAGTATTTCTTGATAGATATTTCTGTGAAATTCCAGAAAGGGGAGGGGAAGGATAAAACAAAACAATACGTAGTCACTTCAAATAATCACATAGCCCGACTTTTTTTTTCTCTTTCAGTTTTGAATTCTGCCTGAAAAAAATGTCTTTGAAATCAAAGACAATTACAGCTTCATTTATTCTGTCTAGTAACAGGTAAGGTGTTTTGCACTGTGAAATAAAGGTAGCTTCTACGTCACATCTGTGTTCGCATCTTTTCATCACAGTGGTAATGAAACACTGAACACAGAGCTCCATTCAGGTCAACATATTCAGCTCTAAGTGGTGAACACAGTCTTTTCACTGCACAGAAAGTAAGTTTCTGCTCTGTCATTAGAAGGGACTTCAAAAGAAGTAAGACCTTTTTGAAATGTCTTACAACATTGTGGGGGAGGAAAGAGCAAGAATACTGGGGAGCTCTGGCCACAACATGGGCATCTACACGTACTGTCTCCAAAGACAGCAAGTCAAATGAGAGAGTACAAAAGCATGCAAACAGCAGCCCAGCTGGATCTTATCTGTAGGCCTTCACTGCGACACATGCTGTAAGAAAAGTCAGCAACCAAACTCCTTAGGCTTGGCTTTCAGCAGTTCCACCAGCTTTTTTCAAAATCCATTTTACAGAAGTAGACAAAAATGCTGCAAATCATGGATACTGCCAAAAAGTTTCCATTTTCTCTGAGTTTGTTTCAAAACCTGATGACCACACAAACACCTGAATATAAATTGCAAATATATTTGTTTCCTTTTATGCTTTGAAAGCATACTTATCAACATCTTAATATAGACACCTTTTCCACACAGAGTATCCTATTGTCAGCTTGGTTGTGGAAAAAACCTACTGACTTTGAAAACAATGGAGTAAAATGCAATGTCTTGGTATAAGAAGCAGAATAGATAAGAGATCCTTCCAACTTCCTGCTTTTCCAATTTATCTCATGAACAACAGCATTTCAGTATGACATAGAAGACCAGTGTTAATTAAAGCATCGAATGTTTATTTTACTTGGTGTAGTCACAGTGAGATTCTGGAGAAAAGCTTAGGAGCTGAAAACAGTATAATGGTGAAGAACTGGGGACTCATTCCTTCACCAAACATAGCTTTATCATCTACATATAAATTCCAGGATGATTACAAACACGACCATCTCACCACAATTTAGAGATCTGTTCGTCTACAGACTAGAAGTAGACTTCTAGCTCACAGTAGAGAATATGAATGCCAGCAGGCACTCTGTTCCCTCTCTGAAGCCTCTCCAGTTGCATAGAAACACTGTGAACTTGGAAGAAAAGTAATTTTATTTCCAACTGAAAAATACGGTTCTTTCTCAACTCATAGCTAGCACAATAAATAAAGGTGTAGTGGAAGAAGATCCCCCTGAAAGAATGAAGCATATAAAAGTCATGGTATGTCCCCAGGTTTTTTTTTGGTTTTTTTGGTTTTTTGGGTTTTTTTTGTTTTTTTAACATATTGGTCAATGTCAAACAAATTTGTCAGATGTTGAAGGCTAACAACATGCAGGTTTCTACAAACTTCCTATATCTGTTTTTTTTAGAAAATAAGAATGCTGCTGAAGGGAAGCTGCAGCATATGCTCAACCTCCATTTGTTACTAGAGAATCTAGTACCAGAATACTAGGAACAGCTGAACTGCAGAATCTCAGTCAGAACTGATGCTTGCTTAGACACCAGGGAATCCAGCCACGCCATAGTCTCAGGCCAAAAGGATTCATTGGGTTTGGTGGTTTCTGATCTATTCCTCCTACCACATCGATAGTACTTTGCACACAGCCAATTAGTGTATACTAATCAGAAATTGCTTCTTCTCAAGCACATTTATAATACAAGCTGACAGCTTCGTTTTGCTATTTTGATTGTAGTACCCTTTCCTCTTTTTGACATAGCTTGACCTGACTGCTACAGCCTCCACACAGACAACTTTAATGCAAGTAATCAACATCAATAGTATCAGCCAAAAGCAAAATCAAGGAAAACACTGGAAGGTAAAATTCATACATGCATAAATGTTGCTTGCAACAGCTGCCACTTCTTTTAATGGAATAAGCTACTTGGAAATATATTTGAATTTAAAAACAATATAATCTTGTGTTCAAAGTATGGAACTAGAACCATGACATTTTCTTGACTTTCTCTATGTTCCACCACTGACTTACTGGGAATTTGGAACAATTCATTAATTACTCAAATCTTCTATTTTTCAGTTGTAAGATTCACTGACAGAGTGCTGAGTCCATTGTCATGTCACTGCCTTCCATGGAATATTTTCTTTCAAGGTAACAAAATGAAATGCCGGGCAGTAAATATAGGAAATCTTTCATTTGTATACTGCAGTATTATGCTGACATTAAAACAGAATAAATTGCTCTTAAAATGGAAGACAACCAAAAAACATTCAAGGAGATTGGCAGGCAAGCTCTCCTTAAATTCACAAGGTACAATTGAGGGAAACGATATATCTCAGACACTACAGCAACAGAAGCCACAAAATCATCTGTACCAGCTACAGGGATGAAAAACCTGGGAAGGGAACAGAGAAGTAGTAGATAGCTACAGCAGCGTGAATTTATAAAGCAAAAAGCTACAAATGCTGGCGTAACTTCCATCTACATGGACAAAGGCATTAGATCACACTGGAAAGACAATGCTCTCACTACCTTATGTCTTGGTTCAAAGCATGCCTGAATTTCTAATTGAAGTCCAATGGAATGTAACCAGAAAAATATTCACAGACAGAAAGTAATTAATAAACAAAGCACCAGGCAGACTGGGGAGCAAGATCAGAAAACAATGTAATTGTGATTCCATGCACATAATTCCCATTTATGTTGACTTGCTGCAACGTATGTTCCGAGATCCAAGCTTGCACTGGGAGATCATATCCCTGGACAAAGAGAGCTCTGAAAACATGAATGAGCTTAACTGTTAAGAATGACTAGTGTCTACAACAAAACTCAAACAACAGTGCAAGAAAACATCTTTCTTAGCTCATCTTACTATAAAAGCCTACAGAAAGTACACAAGCATCATTAAGTGATTCAGGAGAAAAACTCGGCTGAATAGGAGTAACACTTTTTTCATTATTTGAAAAGAATTAGGCTTCTAAATAGTAAACAAAGCTACTATAGCATTTCTAGTGGTCTAACAGCACTGTAAGAAAAGGTAAGATCACCTCTCCACCCTGCGTACAGGATCTCTATGATATTTAACTAGGCAGCACTCTGTTAGCAACATTCAAACTACATCTTCTTTAACCATTTCATTATATGAACTATCCAACAGGATCCTTCAAGAAACCACGAAAAACCCATGGCTATACTTCATATTCAAGACAAGTGATGTTGAACACAGAAAAGTATTTCCATATTTCAAGACTTCTTAACAGCCTACACCACAATACAGTACTCTCTAATACAGTGTAACATCATACAGTCTGTAACATAATACTCTTAACAGCTATACTAAACTAAGTAGTGATTTAATTTGTGTTAACACAACTTGTTCTTTGATTTAGCTGCCTTGCTTCATGTATGGGCATGTAAGACAGAGGTATAAAATTGATTTTCAATCACAGGAAAAGTCTGGATCTCACTTTCTCAGAGTCCCTTACCAAAAAGGCTGAGTAAGACAAAGATAGATATTTAGTTTTCTTACCTCCATTAGGACCTGGGTCAGGAGGATCCAGAATAACACCTCCCCAACACTTTCCACTCCATCCTCCCTCTCTCTTAACTTTTATTTTTCTTTTCTTCTCCCACGTATCTCTCTGTTGAACAATTTCAGACTGAATTCTCTCTCGTTCTTCTTTTTTTCGTTGAGTAACTGCCTGGACTCTACCACTTTGTACCACAGGAGCATTAAGACCAGGCCAGAGGAAACCAGAACGTCCTTAAAAATAACAGAAAAAAGCTACTGTTTATGCCAAATTAGGACTGAAACTGCACGCTGGAAAAATGCAATAAAAGGTTCTCACATATTTCAAGTGGTTTATGATACCGAATTTATATTTTAAAACCAAGAATAACATTAAACAACCATATCAGGATTTTTTTTAAAAGACAAAAATATCTCAAGCAGTTCTGGCACCACAGAAATTTGTCAATACACAAAACCATCAAGACACGTCTTCAGCCCCTTATTTGTGAATCTACCTTCACCAATCTCCTGGCCTCTATTGAGATTCTTCCTTAGCTTTTTCTTCCTTCTCTTTCCTCTTCCTTTCTTTACTCCCACACCAGTCTCTGCCAAAGCTCCTTTCCACAGCTCATCAGCTGTCACTGAAATAAAAAAAAGCTTTCATAAGTAAGTAAAAGTACAGCTTATATTGGAGACTGAAGCTGAACAAAAAAACCCTTGAAATGTTAACCCTTGCTTGATCTTTACTGGGATTTAAACTGTAGGATTACTGCCTTGCTAAGAAAGTGATTGCCTACTATGGGTACATGTATCTGGTGCAGAGATGTGCCTCTACTCCTGGTGACTGCAAGCAGATAGGCACACAGCCAGGTGCATGGTTTTTAAAAGGCAAACATCCCTAACCAGTAAGGTATTAATTCCCAGGTTATTAGAAGAAAATCATTCATTAATAACTCAGAGTAGCAATACACGTAAGCACTTATCCAAGGACAAATATCAATGACAGTCAACTTGAATCACTTAAAAAGCCACAAAACACAAGAAGTTAACCAACAGCATAAATCTGCTGCTGTTTCTCATGTTCTGACAAAATACAAGATCTCCATTATTGCCTGTATAAATGCAAAGGAATGTAAGAGCCTGTAAACAGCCTCATCACAGAGCTCAGGCTTTGGTCAGGCCTCCTTACTCTGGCTGTGTACAGGTCATCCACTGCCTTAAGATGTTGCATGCAACATAAGAGACCATGACTTAGGAAGCATGTATTTGGTAGTTAATGCCCAACTGACAGAAATATAGGATATCCTCATAACTTAGACAAAACCAAACTAAACCAAAATGAAACTGATGATGTGAAGAAGATACTGCAGACAATATTTCATCCTGTTAGTCCAGCCAAGAAGGCTGTCACCATGGAACACACCAGTGTCACCACTGTTATACTCACAGACTAATGCTATTATATGTTTCACCCAGGGACAATGTTACTACAGCAGTTTAAATCTCTTATCTTCTCTGATTAGAAACTGAGTTTGTTCATTTAAAGTAGACAAAAGAAGTCAGTAAATAAACACTTTTAACCAGGGGAATTAAAATAACTATGCTCAAATCACTAGTTTCCCAACAGCAATTCATCCTTGTTAGACTAAGGCATGTGTGAGATCCTGTCCCACAGACTGGCAAACACATTGGAACTGCTCTGCTGCCAACACAGTGAAGGACAGGAGCTATGCAGGGTTTCTAGAGGTACCACTAAGTGACCAGGTTTATTTTTGTATTGAATAAACGTGTATATAGCGTCAAGGTGGCTCTTCCAAAGGTATGACAACCATCTTTTCAGTCAAAAACCCTTTTCAAAGCAGGATGCATAACTGTGGTTCTTTCTTGAGAAGTACAATCCTGAGTCAAGAAATCAAAGCTCAGTACATTGGAAAGCAAGGTTATAAGGAAGGAGACACAACACTACAAGTCCAGGAAGCTGCAAAATAGTATAACCTCACGATGGGCAAGACCAGAACGGCCTAGAAAGTGACTACCTACCCAAATAACGTATTGTAAGAATAGCACAGTAAGCCAGAGTATGTAATACAGATTCCATTTCCAAGTGGAAATTGTGTATTATAGGCAAGAAGAAATGCCCATGGATTGCACATAACAGCAACATTTATCACACTTCTTATACGCTGTGAGGCAAGAATTCTATTTGCTGCTGGGTAGGCTTTGTCCCTGTAAAAAACAAGTTTCTATGTGAAATTGCATTGTCTTTTCTAGACGTTCAGGTGAACCCTAATGTCCAGAGGTTTATGGTTAAAAAAAATCCCAAACAGTAACTGTATCAAATGGCTTGAGACCAGTGTCTGAACTGTCAGCCACTAAAAAAATTTCCAGCCGATTACAACAAACTGGTGCATGTAGCTGTGTGCTAAATGCAAAAAAACAGAATTAAATTAATTTTCAGCCGCACAGAACTCCCCAAACAGAAAAACTTCATTGCTGACTCAGCACATTACTTTCAATAAAAGCCAAACTGTGATAGGTACTAGACTGTCTACAAGTAGTGAATATTACCCTGCATTAAGGTTCAGTATAGAAAAAGACTGGTGGTAAGTAAGTAATGCATGATGCAACTTTTCCTGTTCTAGAGTGGACTACAAGGACTGTCCCATGTGTTGGAAGGTTGATGATCAATCATGTTAAGCTTCTTAGCTTATTCAGAAGACACTGTAACTAGCAATTTCTTTTTTTTTAATGATAATCCTGCTAGCCTGAAAACACGGAATTACAATAAAAGGACTTACATTTTTCTTTGCAAGGTTATTTTTAAGATGGAACAGTTCCCCAGTCTACTGCAGTTTGTGTGGCCTCACAAAGGGTCACAACAGCTACAAGGGAAGCTGCAGAGGGGCAGCAAGAAGTAGTTGAAAGACAAGAACAGGGAACTCTTGTGCCAGTAATACACTCAAAAAAACCCCCAGCACTTTCAGCTGTATTCTAAATATCTGCACGATAAAATCACTTAATCCCAGTAGAGGAAAGCAGCAAAAGTCACAGAGATGGTTTTGTACAAAAGGAGACCAGTCAATGGCAACAGATCCAGCAAGATGAGGTCAGACTGAGTCAAGTTTTGGCCTCAAGCACTGCACAGATTCTGACAAAATTATAATCAGAGGAAAACGTCACATTCAGTACCAAAGTGCAGTTCATCTAATCAGTCTATAATAACATCATCATGTGTTTGGAAAACAGCTGAATTTAATGAAGCACATCAGAAGCCTGCAGGCTACAGAGCTAAGAGTTCTTTTTAAGACGGCAAATATCACACTGATTTTAAGACAAAGTGACAAGAACGGAATATAGAAGGGATAGGCTGCAGTCAAGAAGATTACAATGGTGGGGACATTGCTTCCAACAGACAGACAACACAGCAACAAAGAAAATAAAAATCTGACCATAAGAAAGGTCAATCTGACTTGGCAGCAAAGCACCAAGACAAATGGAGAACATATACATAGGCAGGATAAATGCCTTGTAGTGGAGGAAATAACCCCAAACAGAAATGAGGATCGCTGTACTGCTTTTCACATTTGCAGAAATGCTCTGAAATTAAGACAGTACAGTAGGTATGCAGACTCTTAGTGATTTGTGGCCTTACCTCTATTTTGCCTTTGTAAAATGGGAAGCTGCATGTATTCCTCCAGAGCTGAAACAGACCCAAGTCATAAAAGCCACCACACATTTCTAGTCAGTTACAAGCTTATACTTCCACTTCCAAGCAATTTTTCCTTAGGTTTTTTGATGACAAATAGCCTTGTGGCAGCACAGCAGCAGAGATTCAAAGACATGAATATTAATGACATAATAAAAAGATTAATGAACATGTTATAACAAATATGCTTATTTCAGTGTACTGTTGCCCACTAATGCCATTACATCTATGCATCTGTACTACCTTAAGGAACTTATTAAGGTCTTTTCAATCATTAACATTCTCTTCCAGGTTTCAGCTTGGAATACCATACTTTTATTAGCAAACGAATTCTAAAAAGGTATGGTATTTCCACCTCTTTCCTTCTCTAGACATCAATGGTTTTGTCCACCATTTCCAAAACAAAAACAGAATTTGAAAAAATACTTCACACATATGAAAGAGCATCTGCAAAGGGAATGTGCTGCTTACGTATTCTATCACAAATCGCATGATAAATTACACAGTCTAGACTCAGCCGCTTAATGACCACAAGGAGACTTTTTCCACAAAGGCAGGTCAAAGGCTTAAAAACGAACTCCTCCAGGAACCAAGCCTCACAAACGTCACTATACTCAAATGCAGAGGGCACTTCCTTGACCTTGTCTTCTCTGATGAATGAATGCTTACCCATCCACAGAAAATAGAATGAACTCTTGTCAGATCACTTATATGGGCTCAAAAGCAGCCAAACAAATTCATAGAAGAAAAAGCCACCTAGATTTATAAATTCAAAACATGGCATGTCACAAATCACTGAAGGTTGTGAGGTTTTTCTCAGGAAGCATCCCTACATGCTCATCCAATTTTTACTTTCTTCCCATAGCATCAGCTGCTGTCAGAGACAGGATCCTCAATTAGATGGACATTTGGTCTGATGAGGCAAGCTTTTTCTCATGTTCTAGAAGTTCATTGTTATCTTACTCCTCTAAGACTACTGTAAGGTATAGTTTTCATATTCAGTATCTGTTCGTTTTGAAAGACGTTTCTGAAAAACCAGTATGGACTCCATAAGTTCTTAGAAAACATATGTTTCTGTCACCTCATTACAACTGGAAGCACTGAGGACTGACTAAGAATAGGCCAAGCATTAAACAGGTATGAAAAACAAATGATGGGCCTGCCCTCAGAGCTAATCTCTAGGTATAGCTGAAATAGGATGAGAATAAGGAAAACAATGCGTCGCTTCGCTTTTTGTACAACTTCACCTCTTAGCAGTTCCACTTGTAGAACCAGACATTGTTGTACAAGATGTTAAAAACAAGTCCATACCCACTATACTGTTCTCTGACATGGCTGTACTTTCAAAAGCTTACTGTTATGGCTAACATTTTAAGGATGTGCATCTCTGATAAGAACTATGCAACTGTATGTTAGACAGTCAAAAGTCTGTTGGTGTCCCAGACAGCTTACAAGTAAATTCTTCACTATTAAGAACTGCATTTCAGTATTTGTTCCGAACAGGCAAAGCCTCAAGAGAGAGGTCATTCTGACAGTGTTCACAAACAATTAGTATTAAGTTATCCATCTAAAGCAGGATGTGCTGGAAGTCCAGAAAGATAATGAAGCTAATCTTTATAACACTTTGATTATATAGCTAGTATCTAATACTGGTATTAAGTTGAACACAGTATTCCACTCACTTTAAAATTACACAAGTTCTCCGTGACAACTCCACTGCCAATAAATCAATATCCCATCAAATAAGCATTTTTAACATGGCATGATGTGATGAAACTAAATTATTAAGCAGTCTCATCACCAAGGTACAGGCAGAGCTGGATTATTCCAATTAAATTGGGTTTTATGATCTCTCCAAAAAAGGCAACTGCAACCCTGTCTCATCAGAGCTAACTAAAATAGTCTACAGGAGTTATAAACATTAGGCTTTCCTTG